AGAACTGCACATAGGGTTTCTAAGGAGCGACTGGTGAATTCGAACTGCTGACATTTTGGTTAGCAGCCGAGCTCTTAGCTGCTGCGCCACCAGGGCTCCCCTGTAGCTGTATAGTATGTCTTAAAATCAGGAAGTGTGAGTCTTTCTTCTTTGTTCTTCTCTTTCAACATTGCTTTAGCTATTCAGGGCCTTTTGCCATTCATATAAAGTTGACGATTGGTTTTTCTCTTCTGTAAAGAAGGCTGTTGGAATTTTGACCAGGATTGTATTGAATCTATAGATCGCTTTGGGTAGTACTGACATCTTAACGATATTAAGTCTTCCAATCCATGAACATGAAACATCTTTCCATTTATTTAAGTCTTCTTTATTCTCTTTCAGTAGTGTTTTATAGTTTTCATTCTATAAGTCCTTCACGTCCTTGGTTAGATTTATTCCTAGGTATTTTATTCTCTTAGATGCTATTGTAAATGGAGTTGTTTCTCTAATTTCCCTTTCAGAGTTCTCATTGCTAGTGTATAGAAACCTAACTGATTTTTGTTTGTTGATCTTGTACCCTGCAACTTTGCTAAATTCCTCTGTTAGCTCTAGAAGTTTTCTTTTGGACTCTTTGAGATCTTCCATAGGATCATATCATCTGTGAATAGAGATAATTTTACTTCTTCTTTTCCAATCTAGATACTTTTTATTTCCTTTTCTCCACAAACCATTCTTAAGGGAAGTACCAGAGGAAGAACTTTAGACAAGCAAGAGGTGATTGAGGAAACACAGAAAGTGACCGGCAGTGAGCACAAATAGGGCAGATAAGGTAACAAAACAGAATGCAAATGTTATATATATTAATAATGTAGAAATAATTTAACTAACAACAAGTTGGGGGAGGGAGGCTGTGAAGAGAAATTGGAAGGATATAAACTGACTGGAAGGAAAAAAACATAATTTAAATATACAAACCATTTAGTAGAAGTAGAAGCAAAACTAACAGTATAAACATAAAAATTAAGAATTTTATTGATTAACATCAGATAGTAAAAAAAGGAGAAAAAAGGAAGATAAAATAAGCTATTTTTTTCATTGCTAATAATAAGGAACAAATAGATACAGTCTAAACTTTAGACTTTAAAGAAATATAGGACTAAGGGTATTGTATAAAGTCATAATCACAAAGGCAGCACCAGAAGAAAAATACAAATTTCCTAAATATTTGAAGATTCACAAACATAAAATAGAGTGAAGAAAACAGACCATCATTATTACTTATGAATTCTGACACAACAGTCCTAAAAAATATATTGTAAACAGAATCCAGCAGCATAATAAAAGAATAATAAACTAGTGGGGTGTGTTCAGGAAGTGCACAAATGGTTCAGTGTTAAGAAATCTATTAATATATTTCTTAATATGGGTCTACGGAGGAAGAACATACGATAATCTCCATGGACACTAAGATGGCATTTGACCAATTTAACAACAAATACTAATTAACGTAAGAATACATCCTTCCTTAACATAATGAAAATATATCTGTATTAGCCCCCAACCCAGCATCACCCAAAACACTGCACATTCCCACTTAAGTCAAGAACATCCTTCAAAATTGCTGTTATTTAGACTTCTGGGCAACATGGTGTTATAGGCAGAAGCAGCACACCGTCCCTCCACGGCAAAGATCCAGAAAACTAAGTCAAACAGAGAAAATGGCAATCCTGAAACCCTAAGCATCAAATGAAGAGATAAAGAACTCAGCCAAGCACTGGAATAAGAAACTGACAGAGAACCGAGAGCGAGGAGAGATACATGCAGAGGTCCCCTATCAGCTAACGCCGCACATATCCACCATCTTGGACTCCTATCAGAGATCAGCAAACAGGGGGTATGAGAAAGCAGCTTCATGGAGCTTCCAGCAGGAGACAGAACAATCAGTAACCAGCAATATATGCTTTCCCACCCCCCATTTTTCTTCACCCCCACTCGGGAAGCACTGACTTAACCCCAGTGTCACTTGGATTCCACCTGCCCCCACTGGCCGGCTCCCTGAGTGCCATTTGTTGGCTGCTGGTATTGCTTTTTTCTGTTTCTTTAGATTTCTTCCTTACCTCTCACCACCTCCCCCTCCTTTCTCTCAAATACCTGGCTCTGTGCGCCATCTTTGCTTCTTCCTGAAAGGCTGTGAAACGCCACTCAAATGTGAAACTGCTTCCCGGCCCGTGCTGCCACAGTGGTGGGATCCCAGGGTTTTTTTTGTTTGTTTATCTGAATTGTTTGTTTGTTTGTTTTCTTTTTCTTTTCTCAAACTGGGAGCCCGTTCTAGCTGGGCAGTACTGCATGGCTTGGGACCTACCCCCTCAGTTTGTGCAGACATGCAGAGGGATCCCTGAGAGCATTTTTTTTCTTCTGTTTTTTTTTGGGGGGGGATTTTTCTTTTCTGTTTTTCTTTGAGGGTTTTTCTTGTTCTTTTTAATTTGTTTGTTTTGTTTTCTTTTCCCTCTTTTTCTCTTTTTGTCTTTCTTCATTACTCAGTTTCTCATCTCTCTATACTTTCCTTCTCTTCCTGTCCCCTGAATACCCGGCACTGAGTGACACATCTACCCCTTCTAGCCAGGCTGTACTTCACGGCTTGGAAGAAACTTCCCCAGACCTCGCAGCTGCACCAGAGGGATCCCCGGGAGCTTTGCTTTTCTTCTTTATTTCTAATTTTTATTTATTCATTTTTTTCTTTTCTTCTTCTCCTTTTTGTTTTTCTCCATTTAATAGTCCCTCATCTCTCCACTCCAACGGCAAGCTCCTCTAGCACTCTTTTTTGTTTGTTTGTATGTTTTTGGCTCCAGTTCCTCTCTGCTCTCTCCCATACCCATCTTAGCCCCACACATCACAGTCTCCCCCCTCCATCCTGTCTACCTGCACCATGTGCTGAACATCACACCACCTAGCAGCCCAGGCATGGCCTACCGGAACCTGCCCTGCACTGATTACTGGCCCACCCTGGTGGCCATAGTAAGTGTCACAAACAACCCATCCCAGCAACTCCTGTTCAGGTAGACCTGCCCTGCTGTACCATACCTGAGTGATTGACCCTGCCCAATGGAGAAGGAGGTGAAAAGTATCGTGCCCAAAGATAAGCAAACAAAAAGCACACACAGCCTGCCTGCTCAGACATAGCCAAATAAAACAAAAAAGCAGGATAAAACAAACAAATCTACAATCAATAAATGAGAAAAATAACTACTGAATGCCCCGAAGATAGCAGACAATATCAAAACATTTACAAAAACAGGACAGGATGGTTCCAGTAGGTGTCCAAAATAAAACACCAGATGACTTTCCAGTAGGAGAAAAGGCACTAGAACTACTGATAGGGAATTCAAATCTCTAATATTCAGAGCTATCCAAGAGTGGCAGCAAAAAGCAGACAAAAATGAGGAAAAAACAGACAAATTCATGGAAAATACAGACAAAAAAATGGAAGAGTTCAGGAAAACAATGCAGGAACAAAATGCCAAAATAAATCCACAATTAGAAACCATACAAAAACAGCAATTAGAAATCCAAAAGATAAACAACAAGATTTCAGAAATGGACAGCGTCATAGAAGGGCTGAGGAGCAAGTTTGAAACGGTGGAAGACAGGATCAGTGAAATTGAAGACAAACACTTGGATACAACTCTGAGGAAAAATCAGAAAAAAAGAAGGAAGTAAGATGAAGAGACCCTGAGAATTATGTAGGATACAATCAAAAGCAAAAATCTGCGAGTGATCGGAGTTCCAGAACAGGGGGAGAAAACAGAAAACACAGAGGATCATTGAAGAACAGCTGACAGAAAACTTCCCCAATATCATGAAAGATGAAAAGCTGGCCATCCAAGAAGCTCAACGAACTCCATATAGGATAGACCCCAAAAGAAAATCACCAAGGCATATCATAATCACATTTGCCAAAACCAAAGACAAACAAAGAATCCTGAGGGCAGCTCAAGAAAAACAAAAAGTCACATACAGAGGAGAAACAATAAGACTAAGCGCAGATTACTTAGCAGAAACCATGCAGGCAAGAAGGCAATGGGTTGACATATATAAAACCTTGAAAGAAAAAAACTGCCAGCCAAGAATAATATATCCTGCAAAACTCTCGTTCAAATATGA